GTTTCAGTCCCCTAAAGGTCTTTTGGAAGTTTAAGCAAATAGTCAAATGCATGCCAATAGTTGAAGACAAAGATCACATGGGCAAAAAAGTTTTAATCCAAAATTTCATCGTCATAACACATGTGCTTGTTTACTCATTATTTGTCACCTGAGCTTTATTTTGAAGTTTTAAAAGCTAGCTTTGAACACTTAAGATTACTCATTTCACACAATGACTGATTTTTCCAACACTTTCAGCATTACTAAATCATCTTTTTAATCAGCATCTGTGCCACAGACAGCATTGTATATTTCATATTTACAGCTACAAGTATTCAGCAAGCAGACACAAATATTTACAAACTTTAAAAAGCAATCAAACACACAGCAGATTACTAAGTAAAATCAACTATCACAACACATCTCTGATCTTGTAGTCAGATCAACATAGATATCCCCCTCTGCACAAAAAGCCATGAGCACTCATTAACAGTTTGCTGACAGCGTTTTTGGCATTCCAGATAGATTTCTTAACTGTATTTAAAATAATCACTACAAATACAGTCGTTTTTATCTTATTTTGTAAGCATTACTCCAAAATTGTAAACAGATAAGCTAGTTTCTGCTATTCCACAGAGCTCTTGGACTGGTTTATACACAACCTTGTTTTAATGATACTGCATTATAATAAGGACAAAACTGTCTCATTCTGCAAACTCCATATTAAACTTCATGCATGCGTAAGTAACGAATATTCTAAGATTAAAAGTTACTCAAAGAGCATCCATTCTTGTAATTTGTGTCTTTCACCTTACACTAGGAAGCTTTTGCCTAAAACTTTGGCTGCACGTACAGAAACTGGAACACAATTAACGCTCTATTATCCATGAGAAGATTATGTAAATTGTGGGTTAAGCAGGGTCAGGGATTTTTTTTTACTGAAACACCCCTGGCTTCCACAAAGTACAGTGCTGCTTCTATGAGATCCTGTACCTACTATCTGCTGTTGTTGTAAGGCTGACCTTGTTCTTCCACAGAAAGCTATCCAGAGTTTTTAAAAAGGTGTGTATTCCAAGTGTATGCCTGTAATCTAATTTACATTATTTATAGTACCATTTTCCCCCTTTATCTAGGTTATTCTTCGCCTCTCCCAATTACAGCTATGAATAGGGTAGAACTGACTTACAACACTCAATTTTTACATCCTTTGACTTAAAATTCCTCTGGAACCCTCCAGAACTCAAAACAGCACTACATTTTACATTTTCAACAAGTATTTTTGTTCAGAGGTATTTCATAAGCTACTGGTTACTCCAATTCAAAATAGCTTTCGAGGAAAATCACTGCTGTGTTGCCCTCCCCATCCTGTCTTTCCCCACAAACCATGACCACAAGAAAAGCCAGAATTCCAGCTGATCAGGGTTTCCCTTGGGGGCCCAGACCGGTATGACCGATCTGATGGGAGTCTTGAGGTACTAACCAGGGCTGTTCACAGCTTTTGGGAATTCCAGGGCTGCAGCCGGGGAAGATGACGTTTAGTTTCGCATGGGAACAGGATTAAAAGTAAGATAAGGGATGTCAGCAAAACAGAGTTCTTGTCCTCTCACTGCTCATACCACTGAACAAACATTCCACCCACGGATCTCAAACAATTCGCAGAAAAAGCACAACCTGACTTTTGTTCAAGTGGAACCCTAGTTAACAGTAAGTGTATGATGAACAACATCAACAGCAGTGCAGTTAACACACCATATATTTTACAAAACTTTTCGTAGATAAAAAGAATAATAAGCTCCTCAGTCTTTCACTAAGCACGAGTCTGTCAAAATCACTGAGTGCATTTGGACAAACATAAAGCTTCAAAAAATGGTAATACTCCAGGAAAAAAAAACAGGTCAAAACACAACTTTAGAATCTGAGGTGAAGGTGGGGACATAAATACCCCACACCTTTCAATCTGCCCCAAAAGAACACTGTTAACTCCCATAAAGTTCATGCTTTCCATTTTGAATATACCAAAGTGACAGTAAATAGCATATGTAACACTGATATTCTTCAGTCATTGCCATGGCTGCAAAATAAATAGCTTCTTAAATAGAATTCAGTCTAGGTACTGCACAGAACTGAAGCTTTGATGGACAGTTCAAGTTAGGCAATTTTGTAATAAAAAAAACAGAAGAAATAGAAAAGCAGACAGATTAAGTGGCTTGACAGACACCGGAGACAAGATCAGTGGACAAAAAGCAGAATTACTGCTCAAATCCTGATTCTGTGTTTAATAAATTAAGTCTCAACTCCATCACTTACAACATGTCACTTCTGTCTCATTTGCAATATTCGTAAAAACATCAGCCTGCGCTGCTTAAAGACCTGAAAACTTGTTTGGCTTGCGTGGTAATGTTCCCCATGGTTTCCTTTGGGTTTTATTGGAGTTTTTTTTTTCCCTCCTTTTATTTATTTACTTTTAAATGTAAGCAGAAATTCAGCAATCTCAATTATATGAATGACCATAACTCCAGAACACTCTTCTTTCCATAGCAAATTCACTGTAGGGTATAGCTCAAGAAGCACAAGCCTGATACTGCCTCTAAATGTTTCTTCACCACATTTGTGAAGGCACATGGGAAACCAGATTGGAGTATCACTCCAGCTGGAAACTAACATAACAAAATTATACTGATTATTTTCAGCCACAGCATTCTCTTGACTTCGCTTACTGCCTGGCTGCCAAGAAACTGTTTCTTCCGCCAAGGGGTATGTGAACACAAGGACAACTCAATAACAAAAGCAACATCTTTTCCTTCTGTGGCAGCAACAACTTATGCCACTGAAAAGTATTTATGTAGCCATCGATTAAAAAAGGTTCAGCATTCACTCCTGCCAAGACTCTTTCTCTGGCCTCGAACAAACCTGTTTGCAAAATGGTTCAGTCTTAACATTTTCTGTTATTTATACATATATATATATATATATATACACACACACTTTTTTAATAAAAAAATTTCACAGACCATACACAACTGAACTGGCAGACCTGAGGGCATCTCTTTGAGATAACAAGAGTTCATTTTAAACCAAATCTACTGCCAACAAAGTAACAGAACCAGTCTTGGAAAAGGTGTTTGACTCAAACACACCAGATGATGGTTTTCAGGAAAAGGTTTTGTATAAGAAAGATAAACAGAAACAAAACAAAGAAAAAAACCAACCAAAACCTCTTTCCATAGATACATGCATGTATATTTAATTTAGCTTTAGATTCTAGAAAGCAGTATTGTTTTGCCACGATTTTGTACCCACTACTTCATCCCTTGTTCTCCCCCACACCTTTTCCTCTTCAAAAGTCAACCCCAAAATATGAACGACGCAAGTGGAGACACATGAACAAACACATTAAGGAATCTGTAATGAAGCATTTAATCTACTCTTAATTTATTGTATTTTAATCACCAAAGGAACTGGTATGTGTCAGGTACACTGACAATGCACTGTAATTACTGCATCTAGCTATGTTGATTTAGCATGCTTGTTTACTGTTACTCCTAACTTAGATGTCCACAGACAAGACTTTTTACTGGCTTATAAAGAAAAAAAGGAAGAGTGAAAAAAGTTTCCTGTAGAAATAAATAGTGCCTACTGCACCTTGATTTAAGTTTTATAGTCCAGATGGCAGGTCATGACACCTCTTCAGGTTCAATTTATGCTCCTCAAAGCCTTAGAAATGTTAGAGGCGCCAGGAATTTAACTACAGGGCCAACTCCAGCTCCAAAGATTACTGCTCTGGATATGTGGAGACCAATTTAAACTTAACTACTTTTTAAGTGTAACTCTTGCTATAAAGTGTTTGCGAGCATTCCTGGCCTCAAATCAAACATCCTAGGCACTGAGCAGCACCGGATGTTCATTTTATTGTTTCACAGATGTACAAATTAGTTTCACTGCCCTCTATAAACACCTATCTGTACAGTTATTTCACAGATAAAGATGCCAAACTGGTTCTTTAACTCTATATTACTTGGGGTTCTGAATATCACAGGAGTTATTTCCACTCACTATGTCAACAGCACCACTCTTAACAAGCCAATCCTTCCTCAGACTACCTAACGTTATAGGACTCTAGAGTTGTGCTTAAAATAAGAAAGGAAGGAAAAAAAAAAGCCATTTAAAGAATGGCTGCTCCACACACTCTTGACAGCCAGCAGCTTCAGTAACAGTGCAACTGTTATTGCAGCCAAAATCCTGCAGAACTAGTCAGAAGGTCTTGCAGACCCACAGTTTCCTAACCCAGCTATGCAAGCTCAGAATAAGTAACTAACAACTAGAACACATGCTAATGGAAAAACAGAGCCCATCACTTCTATTGCTACTGTTCATCCTGTTGGCCAAAACCAGGTATATAATTAAGCAGATCAGAACAGACACGTGTATATTAAGGGAGCCTTAGAAATGCAAAACAGCGGCTAACACCTCAGTCCCAATGATGCTCCCTGCTATGCAGTCTGCCTTCAGCAGAGAAAAGTGGTAGAATTTTTCTCTTCCCCTCCCCTGTCAAGTCAGTGCTAAAAACTGCATCTGACATAAAAGCAAAACAAACAAAACACACACAGCAAGTTGCTGCTAGTATTTCTGCTCACCCCTCTTCTTCAACAAAGTTACACCTAAAGATTTATCTTTCTTCTCAAGATACATACATAGCTCACTGAAAAGAAAATCTAATTCATCTGAAACCTTACCCCTTCTCCAAATCGAGCTTTGACACAACAATTAGATTAAAATATTAGAAAACATTCAAGGTGTAAGGCACAGTGACATCTAACAAAACGCCCTCCAGTTTCAGTAAATAACAAAAGTTAACTATTCTTTCCAAACCTTTTTACAACCAGTAACTTAGTGGACATCAGGTCACAGGGTCGGTGGCTATGACAAAGAGATGTGCCTTTAACCAACTAGTAAACAGCAAAGGGCACAATCAGATTGACACAAGCCAAAAGTATTTAAACACAGACTTGCATTGCTCGTACCGGTAAGTCCACGCTGACATCCGTCCCATCCAGCAGCGCTACTCGGCAAGTAATGATGGATTTTGCATCCCCAGCTGCAGGGATATGGGTTGCAGCTCTCTGGGCCTCTCTTAGCCGTTCCTTCTCCGCATGCTTGCGCATAGACCGTCGTCCCAGGGTTCGGCGGAAAAAGCTCAGCATCTTTGCTATGAAATCCACAAAGGAAGGACAACATGTTACTTTTTCACAGAAAAGAATAATACCCTACATTGAAAGCTCTTTAAAAATGCCAAACTTTGGCAAAAAAACAGTTAGAGATCCAAACAGACGTTTAGCTTCATTAGACATGCACAGCCTACGGCTACCTTGAACAAAACTCAGCTCAAACTGTTGATGGTAGCTGGGTGATTTTTAGGACAATCTGTAAGTACGCTAGGAAAAAAAACAGCGACTGTGTAGATCTCATATAACTGGCTGCAATGTTTCATTAACACCAACACTGCCACACTTCTCAACGAGGCTGTGATGCTCAACTCAAGGCTGGAAAGCACCTAAGGATCCCAGCTACTTTCTTGGCTGACAAACTCCATCCCTCTCACCATAAAGAGAGCTACAGGTGAACCCACTTCCCGCCCCACCACCTGGCTTTCAGGCCGTGCAGGGGTGCTGGCGCCGGGCTCTTCACAGGGAGGCTTTGCACGGACAAGCGAGAGCTGCTCGGGCACGGCTACTCCGTGTCGCTGCTCCCCGCTCGGCGCGGGGAAGACGGCCTCCCGGCGCGGCAAACTCGAGGGCTCGGCGGTGAGTCAGCCCCGAGTCCCAACAACCGGCCGGTCTCTCCGGATCGCAACCCATCCCGAGAGCACAGCGCGGCGAACACCCGCCCTGTCCGGCCGCAGATCCCCCTCCCCCGGCCCCAGCCCACCTGCCCGGAAGCCTCGCCTCAGGGGTCGCGGACCCCCTCCCCCGCCCTGGCCGCTCGGGCACCGGCGCGGCGCCACCGCCCCTCTGTGCTGGCGGAGGCAGCGGGCTCCCCGCGGCGCTCACCTGTGGCAGCGGGAGGTCCCGCGGCCCGGGCGGCAGGAGCGGCGAAGCCGGCGGCGGCTGGAGCGCGTCCCCGCGGCGGCTCCCCGAGGCCCTAAGGGTGGGCAGGAGTGGAGCGGAGCCCCCGAGAGGGGGCGGGCCTCCGAACATGGCGGAGCGAGGTGGGAGGCCCTTAAACAGGCAACGACTCCCCGCCCATTTCCTCCCGTCCACACTTACTCACCTGGCGGCTTCCGCGGCTGCTCTCTCCGCTTGGCGTGGGAGTGTAGATCAAGGAGGAGGCCGGCAGGGAGGAAAAGCGGCAAGCGGGCGGTAGAGTGCGCACTTCTTTGGGACGCCAGCGCGGGAATCGCCCCTTTAAAGGGGCGGATCGCCGTGGAGAAGGGGCGCCCCCGCCCCGAGCCAGGTGGTATCGCCCAGCGGAGGGCCGCCGCGGGCGTGGCGTGGTCAACGTGCTGCCCGGGAGGGGGGGGGGAGAGGGGCCGGACCCCGCCCCGCGGCGAAGCAGGGGGAGCAGGAAACCTGCCCGCGACCGGCGCTTCCCGGTGGGGGGCCGGGGTGGCTTTGATCCGTTCCGCGAAATTCCTGGCGTTCTTGCTAAGGCGCGGTAGGAAGTTCCCCTCAGCGGCTCGGCCAGGAAACTGCAGCGGTCCCCAGCGGGAATCCTCGGGGAAACGCGCCCGTAAACCGTGCTGAAGAAAATCGTCTCGTTAAACGCGCCTGACAGGATGATGGCAGCAATAAATCAAGTAAGGCAGAACCAGCGGCAAGCGAACACTGCTTATACCGTGGAACAAGACTATGGCGAAGAAGTGCAGTTCGTGCACTGCTGTCCTTTGAAAACACCAGTATAGTTTGTCCCACTAATCTGTATACATTGATCGCTTTTCCCGTTTGTTTCTGCCGCCTCAGGGAGAAGCCCCTCTCGCTGGCGTTACAGCAGCAATTACAAAGGGCTGCACTGCACCGTATTTTCTTTAGTACATAAATATTTGTGTTTGATCTCCTATTTGAGATCTCCAAATAGAAAACCTCAGGAAAGGCAATACAAACGTAAGGCAACATAAACTCTGCTAGCAGTGACCCTGCGCTGGACAAACGAGCCCCGGGCTCTCTCAAAATCCCAGGATAACTGGGAATCCAGCCTGTGGTAGCAGCCTGGGAAAGCAGAGACTTTGGCTTGTTACTGGGACCACTTTTGCTACCGGTAGCGAGGTGTTTTCTACACCCAGCAGTGAAGCCCGGGCTGAGATAACCGGCCACTCACGGTTATGCGCAGGAACTGGCATAATGAAGCACATATTGCTAGGGAAAATTAGCTTCAGTGCCCGATACATCGACTTGTCTTGATAGCACTTGCCGACTTGCCCAGTATTTGCTGATAAAGCAACACGCTGATTTTAACCTTAAACGTCAGTTGTTTTAGCATCCCGGGGTTGACACGGAGCAATACTCTCCTGCCCCAAACGGAAGGAGCAGGGCAAGCTTACAGAAAAGGCAAGATTCAGGTTTGTGCCTGGCTATTTACCCAGGAACATAAACCACAAAATGGGCTAATTTAGATAGGTTTTATCAGGGGAGCAGAGACTAGGCTTGCTCCTGGTAGTCTGTCATGAAATACATGTGGGATCTTATAATAAAGTTCCCACAGAAAACATACAGAATCTTTTTATATTTAAAGGGGAAAAATAGTTTATCTTGGAGGCTTTCAGCTAGCTGATGAATTCTCAGTGCACATCAACTAACCGATCATTTGCATAACAAGGATGCTTAAGTTTTTAGTGGAGATCTCTGTTAGAAAAATAGTAGCTCCTGGACATTAAGTCTACATATTTGCCTACTAGACAAAGCATCCTGGAGAATTATGTGTCCCTACGTTTTCTGCCCATCTTCAATTATTTCTTCACATTGAGTTTCTTTCCACTATGTCACTCACAAGCTCTCTTGTTGCCACCAAGAAGGCTGTTAGCTCCAGCTTCCTTTTTGTAGCTTCAATGATAGAAAAATTTTTTTGGCCATTTTTGCTCTTCTTACTTCACACCAGCCTCTTGCTACTTTCCATGTAATCAAGAGTCCTTCCTCAATATTTGCCACTCAGATACAGTCCAAGTATATACACATGCAACTGTGGTAGCTGTGACTCATCTTCTATCCACTCTATTGCAGTTTAAACAGATCTCTTCCTACTACGTACCTGTTTCTCCTCTCGAATGCTTTCCCAGTAGTTTATCTTTTTGCACTTCAAATCCAAACACCCTGTCCTCGCTTTAAACCCTGCATTAATGAGTCAAATTATGAAAATATGGGGGGGGGGGGTGTTTGTTCATATCAGTATTCCTCACACCCTCAGTTTTGTGATCAGACTATAATCTCAATTAAAAACAGTCTCCAAAACACTCACTGTATAAGAGATAAAGTTATTGTTCCATTACAGCAAAACCTGCAGTAGATCTTTTCAGGTAAAAAACTTTGGTTGATATGTCCTGCTTCTTCTGTACCCAAGCAATTTCATTCCTGATAATTTAGCATTCTCATCTAGTGCTCAATCCATAGTACTATAGCATCCTATTTACGGCATATGATGGCAAAAAGTAAAACACAAGATGAACGTTATCTGGCACCAGAAGTGTATAAAAGTAGCATAACAAAACCGAGTGAACAGTAGCAAGAAAATTGCAAAAAAAAAAAAAACTTTAAATTACTAAAGCACATCTTTATTTTGCAATTAAACAATTAATATCCACAAGTAAACTATATATGTTTTTTCAAGTCTGTACCTAGACAACTATCTGTCAACTGAAATTAAATATATCCACAAAATATGCATAACAGCATTTTTTCACATAATAGAATGAAATTTTACTTAAGACTAAAACAAGATTTGTTAAATGTTAATTAGCATATTTATCCTGGGAACTGCTGGTTTTCGGTAGAAGTTAGTGTATCATTTTAATGGCAAGATATTTCATTTTATCAAAATGAAGACAAATACATAAGGCCCTTTAAAGCATACAGTAGCTGCAGTGACAAAAGATGAATTTATTTTCACATTGTCCAGTGTTGACCAATTTCAATTTTCCATCATTTTTGATCAACCACGCTGGCTCTTTAGCCAAGATGTTGCATTTAGGTTTGTTTTTTTTTCCTCCCCCTCATGTGCTTTTAAACATATTTATAGGCAAAAGTCTACTTATGGGAAGAACCTTCCCACCCCCCAACATTAATAAAGATACACAAGAGTTAGTCTAAACAATGAAAGAGCTGTTCAACTCTGAGATGATCACACTTGCAGTCCATCATTCAGCAGTATGAAATGAGATGAAATTTGGCAACTGAAAGTCACACCTGGAAATGCAAATTAATTATCAGAAATAAGCAAAAAATATTGCCACCATCTGATTGTTAATATGATCTAAATAATATTCTTCCCTTTGCATTTACACATAGTATAGCACCTGGTACAGAAAAAAACCCAAACCTTACACAAACAGTCCTGCCAAATTGATGGGTTAAAGTGGCATCACTGGTAAATGAACCAAAGCAAATGGAAAACAAATCTAGCTGCATTGGATAAAGTAAAACTTTTGTTTTCCTACCTTAATTTTCCTGTAAGATTATTGTGGGTTGATACTGTGGTGCCCCAATGTACTGAGATAATTGCACTGGATCGTTTATAGCTTAGTCTTTGTGGATATATTTTAGTTAAAGAAAACAACAGCTTAATGTAAACTGTTTAACCGTTTCACTCATGTCCTAGGCCCCTGGCCTAGGAGCAAAAGGGTGACAACTTTAAACTTTGCTATGCATTATCTTTAGTTATCAAAATTCAAATAAGTTAAGAAAAAAAAAATATACTTATTTCCAGGTGATCTGATGTTAGAAATAATGCTTGGCAGAAACCTTTCCAGTAAACACAGCTAATCTGTAGCTAGCTGAGAGAGATCAGAGATACATTTACAAGTACCCTGCAGTTTTTAGTTGCACCATTTTTTTTTCCCAAACGCAAGCTTTATATTCTTTTTAAGATAGGAAAATTGACCTGATAGAAATATTAATATCTGTTTTCTGAGAGTCCCTCAGAAATGCATGAGAAACAAACCAGAAATGGTTGGAACAATGGAAAACATTTGTACCAGGGTGTAATCCGAATCATCTCTGTACAGAAACCCATTAAGCATTTACCTCCAAACCCAATTTATTTTGTCCAGTAGTTCAGTCAGTAGTAAGCATGAGATAAAGTGCTACTATTTAAACACCAAAACACTTGGAAAAAATTTACCCTTTAAAATGTGTAAGGTTGCTAAATACGAAATAACACAACCAACAAACTGTCAGCCAGCCTGTGAAACCATAGCTCATGCTACAGCAGACTGCAATGATAGATATTTCAGTGGTGGTTTGGTTTTATTGTTTGTTTGTTTTAAAATGAGGCTACAGATTTGAAGAAATAAAAAAGTCAAAATCTTTTTAACTGGAAATTTCAGCATATTTTTAAAGTGATTTATCTCAAATTCTCACTACTGAGCTCTCAACGAGCAAAATGTGCCTCAGCCAACAGCCAGAGCTTACAACTTATGCACCAGTTAAAACTTGTAGGTGGAGAAGCGAGAAGATGCACATTACCAGTAGCAACTAGCACAGAGGTACAATCCAGTGATAACAAACTGGCCTCTGTAGACTGCTAAACAAACAAAAAACCCCAAACAAATTATCAGTTTCAGTTGATAACTGCAGTGGGATAAGAGAGACTGGACAGAACAGTTACACTGAAACAAACCATTCTGCCCTTGTAACAGCTTCCCAATCACCATTAATTATAATCCCTGTAATTTCATGCAAGATTCACATCTAAGCAACGAGTATGTTTTTACCAGACTTTGATATTGGATCCCAGCACTGAATAGCAATGGAAAAGAACTTTTCCAGTCTCAATGCAAAAGGTGGGTACTTAAATGAGCAAATGGACCCAGCCAACCTGGGACCTGAAATGTGAACTACAAAGACTACAACTGACATTACAGGGCAACACTCCCGTACTTTATGGAAGTCTAAACATGCAAAATTTTAATTTGGACCATAACCCAATCCCTCCTTTTATCCTTAGGGCTGAGGGTCTTGTTGCCTGCGTATTGGCTCTATAGTCAAAACGACAGCATACATATTGGAAGACCTGCTTTTACTTGGAAACTGGTGGATCTGTAGAGTTTTTCATGCTTGTGCCAATTCCCTGAGCCATCAAACATCGCCCACACACCTGCACGCACACTGCAGAAGCATAAAAATACCACATAATTCAGTTCCACTTCATACCTGGAGCTCCAGCATCTCTATGCCAGACCTTCCCTACTTCCCATTGCCTTGAGCAGTGCAACTGCAGCAGGTCTGCTGCATTTTGGCCCTTCCACAGGTACCACAAAGCTTTCTGGAAGGTCTCCAAGGAAAGTTGCCAGCTACACAGGTTCCATAACAAACTCTCATGTTCCTTTATCTCCCAACTGCTTTCTCTAATAGATGGTGTGCCAGACTGTAATCAGGCATTCTAGAATAAGTATTATTGCTTTATCTATATGGAACATAAGCTTTCAAGTTTTAACAGAGAAACATGGAAGACACATCAGCTAGCATTAAATGTAGTGAGAAAAAAAATTCAGGCTTTTTCATAACTGGGAGAGAATATATAAAAATAAAATGCATAACAGCAGTGTTTTGCTGCTTAAGACTTGCAAGTTATTTAAAACCCCAAATGCTTCCAAATTCAGGATAAGTGAATTCTTCAGCTCTCAGTTACCTGGAGTATCTAAAGCAGTATTTCTCAAAGTGGATTGGCTGACAATCTGTAGGTGGTTTATTAAACAATACCTGCACCTTATTTCATATTTAGCAAAGAAAGAAAAAAGGCCCCAGAACACTTAAAGCTGCCACTAGAGCCCCAGGTATTTCTACAAAAAAAAAAAACAAAAAACAAACAAAAACCAAACAAACAAAAAAAAAAACCCCACAACCCAAAACTTTCAAATACACTTTAAACAAGAGATGGTAGTGGTAGTTTTCAATCCCAGCCTAAAAGGAAAACAAAAGTCTTAACATTATACATTGGCACAAAATTGTCATAATATTGCTCTTATTTACAATGAATTTTTTTTTCTTAAACTGGATTTGCATCATGGAAGTGTTACAAACATACTCTTTCCCGCATCCACCCAACATTTTTCCTAATCAAATGGTATGAAAATAATTATTCATAAAATTCAACAGTCATAACACCAATCACATATAGGTCTATAGGTCATTATGTCTGAAAGATACATTCATGTTTTGTACAGCATGAAGCATACAAAAAAACTTCTTTAAAAAGCTCTTAAGGATGATACAGATCTTCATGACCCAATGTAAAATATTTAGAAGTTTTGCTTTTTTTTTTTGGCCATATAAAAGTATTTTAAAGGCCATTTATACCACAACAGGCAGAAACATATGAACAAAAGTTTTACAGTACAGAAAGGCTTCAGCACTATTCCCTTTCCCAATCAATATTTTGGTTACCACTATCCTGATTTTGGAGAAGCCAAAAAGCCACTGAGTTGCTGATGGCCAATTATCTAAGAATAGTTACTTTGTTCATTTTTTTCCCCAGTGCAACTAATTCATAAACTACAAATCCACCTAAGCCAGTCCAGAGAAAAATTCTGAAGAGTTATTATCCTTGCCTGTGTTTGTAATCAAAACAGTAATGACAGACAACCAATAAATATTCCACACTTAATTGTGGTATAAATGGGGCTTTTGAAATCAAAACTGCTTTGGCAACTTTACATAGGAATCTTTATGTACGTGACATACCAACACTATATAATGTTGATATAAACTCCCGTGTCTGATTTCCCTTACTTTCATTTAGAACTTGACTATGAAGAAAATTTATTTCAATATAATGGATAAATTACTTTAATTTTTAGATGTTAAGTGCTCAGCTTAAAATAACCTTCCAACTAGCCAGCATCTCAGCTAATAATCTTGTCACATGGAAGTTAAAGAAGAATTCTAAAGAGGAGTTTTCTTTTGTTGCAAATGGCTTAAAATAAAACCAAGATTAAAGCTACCTTATTACTCTTTTTCAGTTTATCAGAAGATTCTTGTAAGATTAATTTTTCACTGAGGGATAATATTGATTTAAACATCAAATCTAGAAACACAAGTAACAGGGCCACAGGCCATTTAATATTATTTTGTTTTCTAAAAATATTTAAAACTCTATCTTCCATTTGGCATTGTGGTTCATGTTTATTACTAAGTCCTAAGCTAGGATTTCACTTTGCCTGAATCCCCTTTCATTAATAGTTCATAGCTGATCTGTTTCAAATGTCCATAGAACACAGTATATTATATAATTCTTCAATAGTTAAAAATTATTTAGTGTAGAACATTCCATTTTAATTCTATGCTCTATACAGTTTATAACAAAATTTACTGGGTAAACATTTTCAGGAAACCAATACAATAAATTAGAACTTTTAAATAGAGGACACACAGTTATGTTGTCACAGGGCAGTCAAAGTGACTGATTTTTTTCTTACAGTATATTACACCGGATACCTTGCTTCTGACTTGGTTTCTCCTATACTGAAAAAATATTAAAAGTGGGACATTTATGTACCTTTAGAATGAGCTCAGATACTGTATCACAAACATTTCTTACAAATCTGCTAGCTACTTAAATAAGAAGCAACCCATATTCAACTGGAACAATTTTGTACAAGCATAACAGAAGGCGACTGGGGTCATTATGGAATTAAAATGAAGTTCTGGGACAACTTCATAGTGTTCTCCTCCCTTCCCCCCAGCCAAACAATTAAAAAATAAAATAATATAAAATAAAAGGCAGACCTGTACGAACATGGCTTGAAATCAACTATGCGGATATAACAAGTAATTGGTTAGCAGATAATGGAATTAAATCACATCTGATTGTAAGTTCAACTTAATTATCAGTGCTATTAAAAAGTTATGTTCTAATCAAGTAAGACAGCTATTCTCAATAAAAGGATAAATGGAAGTATCAGCTCCTAATGACCCTACCAGCATTTCATTGTAAGCTGCTAGTAAGTTACTAGTTGGAAGGAATGAAGGAATGTGTCAGATTTTCACATAATTACAGCACAGCAGCATACAATGCTCATTCATTAAGTTGGCAAAGGAGCTTTCACTACCGAAAGCAGCACGCAGGTACTTGTATAAAGAAAGAGGGAATGGTATTTCCATGACCCCTTGTGGTAACATAGTCCAAGCACCAAGGGCCTTTTTTAAAATGTGAACCCATTAAGATAAATATGACAGGACAATACCACCCCCACAGAATCATGAGTGCCTTTCACTGGATGTACGCTGTAAGTCTCAAGGCACTTAAGGGGTTAAGACATAATGCATGCACTAGTTCCCATCACGTAATCTTAAATCACACGAATCAGAATACACCAGTGCATGACACACAAGCTGTGTCAAAGAAATGCTGTTTATTTTTTTATATTTTTATTATTATTATTTTGTACAAGATGCTGGTAAGTGGGCATTATGCAGCTACCGCTGGGTTAACACAGACGCCAGCTCTCCTCTAACAACCAGCTGGTCTCTAGTAAGGGTGTAGGACAAAGTGTGCTGCATCAGTAGGCAGTGTGTATCTATCTAGTAACAGCAATATTGCTAATGTTGTAAAAAACAAAACAGTGAGAGTCTGTACGTAGTAAATAAACCTAGCACTGGAAAAAGACCATGGCTTAGTGTGTTTTTTTCGTTTCTTTTTCATTTTAAGAGACATGGGTGTAAAACAGAGTGAAATAATTCCAAGCCTTGTTTGTAGCAATTCAATCAGAAGCGCAGTATATGGCACTACAACGAAATATCGTAGATTACCCTGAACACGATTAGTTCTTTCAGTTTATGGTTTGTTCGGAGCAAAGCACAAAAATAAAGTCTTCAAACAGATGAAAGTTAGAAGAGTTTCAGAGACTGATTTTGTTTCAACATAAAGTGCAACAGTGCTGAAGTTTTCAAAGTCCTTTGTCAATTCTTTGCTGTACTTCACTATCATTTCCTGCAAGCAGTATTATGGCACAAAGAATGCTGCCAGTTTATTATAGAGGACAGGATTCCTCAACTGATATCCTGGGGGTTTTTTGCTCTTTACTTATGCAGTGATGTTTGTAAAGGTTTAACAAATCCTTCTTCATACACCTTCAAAATAGCTTCACATACAAATCTGTATTGACTCTGAAAAGGAAAGTAAATTCAGTAAATTGAAAAGAAATGTACTTGACTCATGTAATCTGGAAGCAGAAAAGGCCTCTAAGATTTGCCCATCCCCTTCTCTTGATGGTCCAAGAACTGAGCTTCAAAGTGAGTTTAGGAAACACAAATCAGGGACTTTATATTAGAACATTTTGTTTCTCAACAGAAGAATGGGATGAACAGCACTTTGAAATACATACCAAAAGTCATATCCACAAAACCAGTGCTAATATTGCAACATCACCTATTCCGTTATTTTCTGCTCTTCATTTCATTGCTGAAGTTTCATTGACCTGAGATTTTCATTCACTTGGATTTAAAAGTTGTAGTTTCAAAGCACTTTTTCATACTTAGATTAGTGCTGGCATGTTACTGGCACCTCTCTCTCAGAATTTGGTAATAAAGAAAACTGTTTCATGTTTGAAAAAAAACCCCAGAACTCCAGTTTCTTTACATTAGATAATGTCTAACTCTGCAATGTATTCAAGTCTCACACCTGCATACACAGAGGCCACTAATATATATATATTTTAACAAACAATTCTTTAAAAATCCCAACCGTAATCAACTTAGAATAAAATGAAAATAAATAAAGCCACTGTTTTTTAAAGCACCACAACTATCACTGAACACTGCATAATGGTATGTATGCTGATCAGAAAGCCAGCATATCTGCCTTTTCTGTGTTGTGGAATATTCCTCTTTGTGCAGTCACTAGTGATGTCAGATCTTCAATGGGCACAGTGACAGATTTAGCAATAAAATAATTATTTACTGTTGCATGTATATTAAAACAGTTAAATTTATACATATTTGTGTAAAATACTTATTTTGCCTCCAATGGCTCCTGAAGGAGACTCTGAACTCTCCTCTCGTAGTACACACAGCAGACACCCATGCACAGGGCCATCTTGTGGACACTAAACGAATCTTTCAGGATATACAAATCAGGAAGAGAGTGCCAAGGGAAAAATTATAATAGATAATGTTTATGAAATCTTAAAAACCCAACCACTTCAAGTCTTTTATTATGCCTTCTCTCACTGATGCAGTAAACACCTGCATTTCACTGAAGCTTGAAAATTCTGGTTTCTCTAAGAAAAATGAGAAGACCAGAAGATATTTAGCACATGGTGTGAAAAACTGCCATTAAACCCCTTACCATTGAACCTCCTACCTTTACTGATAGAATTTTCTTCCTCTCTATATTTGCTAGAGAGACATGCTATTCATACTGTATAGTCACCACAAACAGCAAGAGTCACCCTTTATTATTTTTCATGTATGACCACCTTCTTCATCCTTCCTGTGCTAACTGAATAATACAACTTTTTTTCTAGTGCAACATGAATACTGGACAGCAGCACTGAATGAGATGACTTAGAAACCTAGAAATGGAGATCCATATACACTTTTTGTCAGTTTGAATACTCTATGAAGAACACAAAAGTCTTATTCAAATTTGATTATAGAGGAACAGCAGCAGGGACATCAAAGCTACTACCCATTACCCTCAGGTAACTGTATCTTCAATTACCTTTAGGTAGCTGTGAGAGAGAGCTGCTACTGGACCTAGTGCGTTTTCTCCTTCTAAACACTTTCTTTTTAAATGCTACATATACTACGAGCAAAACTCTACAACTGGATAGTGATTTAAAAAAAAAAAAATTAAAAAAAACCCAGAATGATTAGCATTAAGAAGTGGTTCCTGGATAGCTTGGAACAACCATGAGTCCAAGCCTTTTGTTTTTAGAACAAAGCTCAATCTTTTAACCCTTTTTAGATATTTTCTAAAAATGTGAACACTAACTATTCTTAGGTACATATGACTGATAAAAAGTTTCTAAATACGTTCTAAAACATCTGCAATTTTGAAATATAGCACATTAAAGCAACATCACAATTAGCTCAAAAAGCTCCAAACATTACAGATCCAGGAAAAAGTCTAGCATCGTAAGATGCACCAAATGTGAAGAGAACACCAAGGGAATACTGGTAGCAAGATACTTTTTTAGACTAAACATACTTAAAATTACTGATATACCTCGATCAGATTGAATTACACAGTTTTTAAAACATACTATTTCTCAGAGTCACTACAGGGCAAAGTTAAGTCTTGTTTTCATTATAGCTAAGGCAATATTAAAATCACTGAAGATTTTCCTTTCATGTCTTAGATCTTTCCATGCTTAGATTTTATACTGCTCCCATTCTTAACACCTGGAATTAGGCTCCTGCTGTTTCCACTGAGTAACTTTAACAGTACTGAAAATTGGCTTCTTGACATTAATTGCCAGGTATCCCTGACACAGCTGCTGCTTTTTTCAGTTTTTCTTTGTGGAAAATCTAAAGAATTGCTACTTTCCAATAGCCTTTGCAATTTACTCCTGCCTGGAGCCAAGGCTACACCTGCACTGGGTAACGGTGATCTCTTTGCAGTATAATCAACAGCAAGTATATTAAAAATACATCTAATTTTATGACTAGATAATAGGAAATTATTCTTCTGCAACACAGAACAGAAAGTATGATACTCACAGGTGTTTGGATCATCATGGCTCTTTGATCTCTCATGGTTCTTACAATATCTAATGGATAA